GTCGAGGATGAACAACAGGAAGTTTGACCAAAGGTGCGGCTACTGGATGCTTTGCTCCTCAAAGGCCAGACAACAGGATGCTTGGTTTAGCACGTAGTTACCAGGTGTTTTGAGATGTAAGGAGGTAGTTACACTTGCTTCTTCTTTGTATCATGGGAGTCTTGTGCCCTCCCCTTTTGATTGGGGCATAGAAGGACTGAGAGTAATAAACTCGCGCTTTATGATATCCACTGGAAGCCCTCCCAACCTATCTGTCATTTGTCTGTCTATTTATCATCTATCGACAGACTGAAATACACATGCACAACAATACACACATACATAAAATTAACTTCACATGTTTGATGGACTCAGTTTCCCTTTTTATAGTGCCTGATCATGGAGCTAACTTAAAATAAGCTTAATTTGTTAACAGTTTGTTATGTATGTGGTGTGATCTCAGTTGTCAACTTAATAAGATCTAAGATGACCTAGAAGTTCAGCCTCTGCAGCTTGTGGGTGATTATCTCCACTAGATTAGTTGAAGTGGGAAGACCCACCCAAATTCCTTGGATGGTATACTGGTTAGGTTTTTATATCAACTTGACACAAGCTAGAGTCATCTGCGAGAAGGACAACCTTAATTGAGAAAACAGTTCCATACAATTCAGCTGTAACATTTTCTTAATTAGTGATTAATGTAGGAGGGTCCAGTCAATGGTGGGTGGGCCCACTCCTGGACTGGTGGTCCTAGTTCTATAAGAAAGCAGGCTGAGCAAATCATGAGGAGCAAGCCTGTAAACAACACTCCTCTATGGCCTCTGCATCAGCTCCTGCCTCCAGGTTCCTGCCCAATTTGAGTTCCTCCTGTCCTGACTTCCTTCATGATGGACGGTGATGTGGAAAAGTAATTGAAACAAACCCTTTTCCCCCCAAGTTGCTTTAGGTCATGATTTCGCCACAGCCTTGAAACCCTAACTAAGATGGGGTCCTTGACTATAGAAAAAGCAGGAGAAAAAGAGCTGAACACAAACATCCAGTGCTCCTACTGCCTCCTACAGCCGATGCCATGTGATCAGTCACATGACCAGCGGCTATAAGCTCCTGCTATTTTGACTCCTGCAAACCAAAACAAGCTCGCACTTCTGCAAGTGCCTTATGTCAGGGTATTTTATCACAGCCCGAAGAAGAGTAGTCAAGGCATGTGGTAAAATTTCTGCCGACTTAAATTGCGTCCTCCTGCTCTTCTAATCTGCTTATAACGAGGATTTTCAGGGCTAGGATTGGGGATCCTAGCCTTTGTTCTAGAGAACAGCAGGAATGTTCTCACAGGGAAGCAGGTGGATTTGCGGAGCCTGGATCTTATATGGTTCTGTCAAATTTTTGTAATTCTAGATGTAATTGTACAGCGCAGAGGTCTTTGTGTCACTTGGCTCTTGGGGCAGGAAGCGATCTGGTGGGAGGTGGATTATTGTCATTCTGTTTCTCTCTTTGTTTATCTTTGGGGTTTTCTCCAATATTATTTTATGCCCAGTTAGGCTGCGACCTTGATCAGGTTTCCCTTCTTCAGCCACAAAAGTTCACTTCGCAATGCCAAGCCACCCTACCCTTTCTTTGTTTCGACAGTCATCGTGGCTAAAATAGCCATTGTTGATTAAACACAAAAGACATGCCAGGTACTTTATTTTAGTCCTACTCCTTAATAAAATATGTGAGGAAGGCATTGCTACCTTTGTTTTAGAAAGAGAATGTAAAAAAGTTACACTTTTTAAAACTTCACTGTACTCTACAGCATTATTGTTATATCAAAATGCATTTCTGCATTTATGCACTCATCTGTTACAGATGACAGTAATTCTACCAATATGCACCAAACACATATTTTGTGAAAATAATAAACTTAAATATTGTGAAGACTATAGATAGCTCTCATCTAGCTCTGACCCCAGGAATTTTGCAGGATAGACAGAGCAATGACAACTGAGTGTAATGATCAAAATATACGTTAGAAACTGTGGACTTCTCCAAGGTAGTTTTGAGGTCATAATCACCATGATAGTATCAAATACAAAAGCAAGTTCCATATACAGTTGTCAATGACTGAGCAGTTAACTTGGAATTGAAGGGAGTGTTGAATGGGCCAGGAAAGGTTCCACATACACATAATGTGTAGCATTTGTGTACAACCGAGCATATTCCAGAGGTGGAAAAGCTCTTTTGAGTGACCAGAACATGTGAGTCAGAGGGTGGAGGTACACCATGTTTGAGGTGTGAAAGGGACAGAAGTCAGGTGCCCGAGGGTAGCATTTATAGCATCAAAGTTGTCATTGAATCAGAAAAGAAAGTTTTTTCAGTTTTATATCAAGCACAGAAAGAGCAATCTCAAGAAAGTTTTTCCAGTTTTATATCAAGCACAGAAACAGCAATCTCAAGAAAGTTTTTCCAGTTTTATATCAAGCACAGAAAGAGCAATCTCAATAGCAAAATATATACAATGCTGGTAAGAGGGCTCAGTGGGTGAAGAAATTTCAACCCCAGCTGAGTGTGAGTCCTCAGGACCAGTGCAGAGCTGGACAGTCGCTTCCATACTCTCAGAACTCCTGTGGTTGGGTGGGAAGAGGAGAGAGCTGAATCCCGATAAGCCGTCCATTTGTACTGAGGGAGCCAGCAAACAGACGAATCAGCCTCAAACAAGGCAGAAGGTGGAGACTGACACCAACATTATCCTCCGACTCCACACACGTACTGCAGCAGGTGTGTGCTCACACTTACACACACACACACACATGTTCACCACCTCTCTCCCTCTCTCTCTCATACACACACACACACACGATCATAGATATACACCATCAGAATAATTACAATTTGGAAGGGAAAATTTATTTTATGAGCAATCTTTCAATGTTGGAATTATCTAAGTTTGTTAGATTCAGTGTTTTTCAAACTTTTTTTTTTTTCCAGTTTGGGTTCTAAAACTATAAGATTATAAAAAAAAAATCCCGTTTCATAGTGTCTGGGCAAAGTCCATTATTCTCAATATGAATCTCTTCGCAGTTTGAGTAAGTATTTTAGAACCATTGTTGTTTGCCGACTTAGGGGTCAGTTCAGAAAGAGACTTACTAGGCAGAGATCTGCAAAGGAGAAGCTGCAATGCACAATGGAAGGACGAGAGAAACATTTCTGTTTGTCTGTTTGGAAAATAGAGAAATTACTTGGAACTTAATGTGTCTGGATTGTAGTTCTTAGTTTTATTTTATTTATTTTTTATTTTTTGCTTTTAGCTACATGGCTCTTGCATGAGTCAGGTTATTCGTGTTATTCCATAAAAGTACCAGTATAAAAGGGTTTTATGAGGATTAACAATGACACATATAACAAAGATATAAATGTGCCTAGATTTTATCCCATTGCTTTCTTTAAAAAAAAAGATTTATTTTTACTAATTTTACTCTGTGAATGTATGTGACTATGCACATGACTGCAGATGCCTGCATTTGGGTTGTTGTGAGCGACTCTATGTAGTTGCTGAGAACCAAACTTGAATCCTCTGTAAGAACAACTCAGAACTGCTGAGTCATCTCTCCAACACTTGTTTCTTCTTTCCTTTCAATCTCTTCTGGATTTTTTTTTTCTTTTTCAAATATTCATGACTTATTTTATAGTTCTATGAAGAAAGACAACAGACTTCCCTAAGTTTGGTGAGGCTGAAACATCATAGTGGAAGGATGTGACAGAGAAAAGTTCCTCATCTCTCTCATTGCAGCCATAAAGCAAAGAGTGAGTTAGGGCTCAGGAATATACGTGTGTGTGTGTGTGTGTGTGTGTGTGTGTGTATCTTATCTGTTCCTCTAGATTACCCCTACTAAAGTAAAACCTAAATATAATACAAACAAATTGATTAGTAATATGCACACAAAGTTTAATAATATTTTCCCTCCCCCCTCTCTCTCTCTTTCTTTCTTTCTTTCTTTCTTTTTTCTTTCCTCCCCCTCTTTCTCTCTTCTGGAGCCCTGGTTGTCCTGGAACTCACTGTAGGTCAGGCTAGCCTTGAATTCAGAGACCCACCTGCCTCTGCTCCTGCCCCCAGTACTTGAATAAAAATAAAAGGCATGTGTCACCACTGCATGGCTATAATATTATTTCTTATACTATAGATACTGTTACATAGAGATGTGATGTACAGTAATACTTTCTTGAGTTTATTGTGGCACATTTTGAAATAAACTGGATCTCACACATCTTGAAATGCTGGGAATGAGGAGTCTACTTTCAAGGCGGATCAATAGTGGCACATCACAAAGAGAAATTTAAATGCTTGTTAATTTAAATATGAAGCCAAGACCATAATATTCACATAATTATCTTTTCCTAATCTCAACACTAAAAGTAACAGCAATAGCAAAGGAATTAATTTGGTAATGTAAGACACACTTCATGAAGGGAATTTCAGTGTTCAAATCATGCCTGTAAGTTAGATTGTCACTAAGAATGAGATTCTCTGTTTTGTTTTCTGTTTTCTTTGGAAGTCTAAACTAAGTGCCTTTAGAGAAAAAGAAGGAAGACATGATGTTGGGAGGGAGACGTGTTGTGAGTGTTCAGGAACACTGGAGCAGACAATGAAGAAATGCATGTGATCATAATACATTGCCTATGTATATTAAATACTAAAATAATAAAAATATTATGTCTTTTAAATATTTATTATTTATTATGTATTCAGTGTTCTGCCTGCATGCTGGAAGAGTATATCAGATATTATCATAGATGGTTGTGAGCCACCATGTGGTTTCTTGGACTTGAATTCAAGACTTCTAGAAGACCAATCAATGCTTTTGACTTTTGAGCCATCTCCCCAGCCCTATTATTGTCTTTTAAAGAAATATTTCCAGGTGTCATGGATCACACTTTTTATCACAGGACTTGGGAGGCAGAAGCAGGCCGATCTCTGTGGGTTTGAGGCTATTATGGTCTATATAATGAATTCCACAATATCCATGACTCCATTGTGAGACCCCATTTTAATAAAATAATTCATTTGCATACATTAATATTATCTCCAGTGGTTCCAATTTATAGTCAGGGAAAAGCATGTAAATTGTAATATAGATTTACAGAATCATAACATTTGTAGAGAAACTACCCCAACTTAGCCAAGATAATAGGTTGAATCTGTGGTCTTTTAGTTGAAGACATAAATAGTAGAAGACAGGATACCTTTTAAATAGTCTGGATATAAATATTGTTGAATAAATATTCAACAAAATAAAGTCATAGACGTCACTAACACTCACAGCAGAAAATACAATGAACCCCCTCAAGGACACAAACCACCTTTAACATTCAAAACAGATGTTTGGTATCAGCAAGCACACTAAAGAGCAGAATGTAAAAAAATTAATTAAATCAGAGCAAGATTTTGTGTTGTTTTTGACTAAATCTCAAGCATTTGATTTTACCAATACCAATAAAGACCCAGGAGCCAGGTGTGGGGGTGAAAGCCTGCTAGTTCAGAGAGGCAGAACAAGCACCTAATTGACCTTCCTCCCCCACGAATGTCCCATAATGTAAGGATCTAAGGCCTTTCTCCTACATAGTCTAAAAACAAAACAAAACAAACAACAAACCCCTCAAACCAAATGTCCCTTTCTTCTACTTCCTGCGCCTCTCGCAATCCATCCTCCTGATTCTTTCTTACTCTGTATGGTTTTTTAATGTTCACTTCCTGTCAACTGGTTGCTTGCTCCATCTCTTGACTTATGATTGACTTTATTTAGTCCTCTTTACAATAAGCAGAAAGCTCTTGAATTAAAGATGTGTGCTAGGGCTGAGCCACACCACGACTAGAAACAGCTTTTTCCAATAAATAACACAAACTTGGGGTTCACAGTGTGATCAAATACCCTGCAACAATTTTGCTAATTTATTTTGAAATGACATCTGAACAGGTACCTAGAATATTTGTTTTTCCAGTGTCCAAAATCAGAACTTTACTATTAATCATTAATAACTTCTCAAGTTTCATGTTCCTATGGTCTCCTTTATTGTTAAACTTGAATCACAAAGTTACAAGTTAGAAAAAGAAGTTTTAAGTATTTCAAGAACATGCTGTGTAGCACAAATATTGAAAACCAAAAGACTGATATTGGGGCTTGAACTGAAGGTCGGAAAAACAAAACAGTTAGTCCCTGGCTCTTACTTCTACTTCATTCCAAAGTGGTGATCCTGCCTCCAGGAATCTCAGAATGAGACTATCTGAGTGCTGTTTCCTCCCATCTTATATTCCTCTCTAGGCCTAGGATTGTAGGTGAGCACCACTACCGCTTGGTTTCTATGGCAAACTAGTGTGGCTACTGGGATTAAAGGTGTGTGTCACCACTCTGGTCTGTAAGGCTGATGAGTGGGGCTGTTTTACTCTCTGATCTTTAGGCAAGCTTTATTTATTAAAATACAAATGAAATATCACCACACTGTTGGGTTAAGAGACATTGCCTTCAGCCTGAACTTTCTCAGTCTTGAGTTTAAAGCAATTCTTAGGATGAGGATTTACACACACACCCAGAAAGCATGAGACACAACATTTGCATTCACAGTAGAAATGGAAAAGGCACTGTTAAACTATACCAGAATATTTACACATAAAGTAACAAGAGATGAAGAAGCACATTGACTCTAAAGGAGTAAGAAATCCAAAGATTCCCTGTTTGGAATCTCCGCGGTGTTCCTCTTGCCGTATGTGTTTGATCCCACGTTGGTGGATGAGAGGACAGGACCAAGATTGTTGCTGGAATGGACCAAAAAGTTTGCCAGGCGCTGTGTGGCGCAGGTTGCAGTGTTGCACTCCCGTTTGTCCATCTGGTGGTTGGTTCCACTAAACAAACAAGAAAGAATAGGTTGAGAGGCAGCCACGCCACCTACACTGTTCCATGCAGTAAAAGAGCGGAAGTATTTTTATAGAAGTCACTCAGGACTCTGGACACTTATGACACTGAGAAAGTGTAGAAGAATCAATTTTGACCACAAAACCACAAAACACCTTCCACTGCAGTTAGTGTTGCAGCTCACAATACAAGGAGTGATCTCTTTGGATATTTGGCACAGGTTCTTATAATAAAAACTTTTCATCTTATATTTTCTAAGTCTTGTTGGCTGACTTATTTTCTGTGATGTATAAATGATTTGGAATGTATGATTTATATCTAGCCTGGGATATATAGAGATTCTAAAGGTGAAGTTATTTCCTTTATCTTTTTGACAAAAATTAAACAATATTTTGATGTTTTTTAAGATTACTCAATTAAAATATCAAGGAAAAGATGCCATAAAGGAATTCTGCCATATGCAACACTGAAGGCATTGTGCAGGGTGAGATAACTCAGGTAAAGGAAATTAGGTATTGAGTGAACACACGTGAGACTCCACATGCAGTCACATTTGTGAGTCAAACAGTGGAGCGCAGGTAATGAGCCAGGACAAATGCCTGGTTACTAAGCAATAGGCAGCAAGGTGAATATATTCTCAAGGTCACTCGTATGCAGTTTGCCAGAAGTACACAATTTTTGTATGCTAAAACTTTTTGTGAGAGCAGATTTCACGCTGAATGTTCTTAGTACAAGAGAACATATAGAGACATTGAAAAGACAGATAAAGTCTGGCAGTGGTGGTGCATGCCTTTAATCCCAGCACTTGGAAGGCAAAGGTTGCTGGATACAGAGTGAGTTCCAGGACAGCCACACAGAGAAACCATGTCTCGGGAAAACAAACAAACAAAAAACCAAAACAACAAAAACAACAAAAGACAGATAATATTACGCAATTAAAAGATCATCTAAGTTGCTATAGAGTTACAGTAAAAATGAATTGACCACTGTCCCAGCACTCACTGCTCCATGGGAGTGCTTGGCATGAATATGTAGAACTCTGCTTTTCAAAATTTTAATCTTAGGGCTAGACTGCAACAGTTGGGCATGAAGATCACCAACTTTTTAGCCACCTAAACAGCTGAACAATAACACTAGCAATAAATCAAAAATTGTAACTGTGATTTAAAATTCACTTGAATTTTGACTTTTTATTTATTTATTCATTTAGGTATTTTTGAGCCAAGCCATGTAGTCCAGTCTGGCCTCCAACTCATGATTCCCCCACTTCCCCGAAATGTTGGGGTTACAGATATGTACCACTGCACCTGGATTTGTGCCCCTACTTAAGGCATTTATTTATTTATTTCGACTCTATACTCTTGGAATATCTCATGTCTCTGTTGGTCAGCTTTCTGCTTGTATAAAAACACCTGAAGTAAATCAACGTAAAAACAGGAGAGACATTTGGGCTTGAAATTTTGAGGGCTCAGGTCAGGGTCATTTGTTCCTGTCGCTTTGCATATTAAAAACACATTTCACAGTAGGTAATTGAGAGATGAAGCAAGCTGGTAATTGCATGGTAACCAGGAAGTAACCAAAAAGAGGAGAAGAATAAATTATGTTCCCAAACTTCCTTGGAAGGCACAAGTTCAATGCCTCCCACCTCCAGCTCTGCCTCTTTCACAAAGTTTCTACTACCTCTTTCCCAGGTATGGTTCAGGGACCAAACTTTTAAGACTTGGGGCTTTGAAATATACTTCAGAAATAAACTTTATCAAAATGCTTTCAAAATGTTACTTTAAATGGCTATAGGATAGTAACACTACCTACTCTGTTGAGTTTTAGAATATATTAGGAAATGTTTTAGTTTTCAGCTCCAGAGGAATCAAATTACTATTAAGATTTAGATACATGTAAAGTGGAAAGTAAAAGTTATGGAGCTCAAAAAAATATCAATGCCCAAGACTCTGTAGATAATACATAATGGAGACCAATGCAATGTGTGCTTCTTTGTGAAGCCTTTGTGGGTGGGAGTGTTGAATCATCATTGCCTCCACACAGCTACCCTAAAACTAAAGTTTTACATGAATTTTTAAAATTATTTTCCCTTCTTACTGCTGTATTTCCCCCAACTACAGAAAACTTTTTCATCAACATCAAGTGACCTGACTATTTGTTTTGTTTTGTGTAAATATACAATAAAGAAACAATCAGTAGCCAAAGGAGCCCCCCCCCTCCCCCGTGGGATCCAGATGTTTGTTTTAATTTTTTGAAGCAAATTGCAACTTTTTAACCTTAATCCAGCATCATCTTCCTGCCTCCACTCTCTAGGGCTGGAATACAAGTGTGTGCCACCACACACAGTGAAATCTACGTTTTTGTTCTGTATTCATCATAAGGATATTATTTGTTCTTTGAAGGCATAGCATACATAAACACTATATTTCAAATGAATCACTTAATGCTTTAAAGAGGTTTGCTCATGTTTCCAACACAAGACATGAAATTTTAAATAAGATGACTTTCCTAAAAATCATTTGGGATTAGAATTTGCTCTGAAACTGAAAACTGATAGATTTAAGACAGAAAAAAACATGATCTATCAGTGTCGGGCAATTTCTGTTTGAAGATGTTCTTGGCAGTGATGGGAGCAGACTGTAGAGTTCTTCACAGACAGTGGAGTTGGACTTTGAGGATGGATTAGAAGGCAATAAAGCACTTTAAGTCATCTAAATGAAACATTATCGTATTGAGTTAGCTGAAAACTCCACCACTCCTCATGAAAGACACAACAAGAGTTCTTAAAGCTTGTGTCACAGATGCACCATTGATTCCCCCCGTGTAAAGACGATGAAAGCATAGACAAGACATTAAAATAATCATTAGAAGGTGAGCAGTGGTGGTTCACCCATTTAATCCCAGCACTTGGGAGGCAGAGGCACGTGGATCTTTGTGAGTTCGAGGCCAACCTGTCTACAGAGCCAGTTCCAGGACAGTTAGGGCTGTTACACAGAAAAACCCTGTCTCAAAAAACAAAAGGAAAAACAGCAACAACAAAATAATCATCAGAATACTGGGCAAGGGTGACATAGCCAATATAAGATACCTCCACTTGATGTATTTTTTCTTAATGGCTTGTTTACATTAACATTCATATATAGAGGTGGGTAACTACAACTGGGAGCTCCTAGTTATCAAACTATGTGTGTGTGTGTGTGTGTGTGTGTGTGTGTGTGTGTATCCCCATCACCAAAAAGGGAACTGATGTAAAGAAGTGCATTAGCAGACATTTTAAAGATGTCTTGTGAGTGTGCACAAGATAAATGATTATGAGAAAACAATAAAATAATCTGACAGGCTGTGATTTATTTTATTTTAGAGTAAAGTTCACTGTAAAAGATGTGAGCACCCACAGACACACTTGGCAGAGATGCTGAGCAAATCTCTGTATGCACTGGAAGAAAAAAAATCAAGATACTAGCAGACACATTAAGTAATACCATTAAATTTTCCATCATGATTCAATTGTTCTGTTTATTAGAAACCTCATATTGGCTTTATAGCTATTTTTAGCCGTGAAAAGGCCAATTGAAAATTACAGTGAGTTCAGTGATCACCGTGTGAAACCAGGTAAGTCTTGAGATGATAAAAACTATCTTTGTTGTTTCCTGGTATTAATCACAGCTGGTGCTGCAGAAAATGTCTGCACACTGACACCGACCTTCACCCAAAACACATACTCTAGAGAATAAAAAGAGATGATAATGATACTTCCAAGAAGAGATTAAATCACATGCTTTTCTAAGGCAAATTTAATTTTTTGTGCTGTCCACGAGTGGGTAAGTTTGGTTTCCTAAGAGTATATGGAGCAAAACTGAATGAGGTGCAAATTCGAACTTCTTATAATTCTATATCGCCACGGCATGGAATGACCTTCAACGAGCAAATGACTTTTTAACTAATTCTGAAATTTAACTTCTTAAAACCTTTCATTTCCCTCCCATTTTATAGTTCCAGTTTCCAGAAGGAGATGCAGAAGTTTGGATACTTCCAGACTCGTTTGAAAAGGAAACAGAGGCAGTTTACCTATGCACCCAAGTTCCAGCTGACATAAAAAGCACTTTCTTGTTCAATCCCTTCAGTTTCTTTCAGTACTGGTTTCAAACAGTAGGAATGTCTGTCTGCCTGTCAGTCTTCCTGGCGTCTTACTCTGGCTTTGCCCCTGTAGGTTCTAATGAGTTTCCAGACAAATGTCGCCATCCATGCCCAACTATAAGAAGTTCTACCAGTCAATCCTCAGTCACTGACTTTGCCCTTAAAGAATGCAGAATTAGGAACCCATTCAGCTTCAAGTACTGCTCATAGAAGGACTGGCTTAAAAATTGAACATTACAATTGCAATTCGAATTTCCCCACACTTTCCAAACAAAGTTGAGATTTTCAGAATACCAACCTTCTGACGGGTGTAGCTTTCAGGTGGTTTAGTGCCACAGAGAGGATGAGGAGAGCAGCCGGCAGTTTGGAGATGTGCATCGCTTCTCAAGGTCCCTGAGAAGAGAACGACATTGAACTCAAGCTACTTTCTTCAGTTCCGAACGAAGCTGTATTAAATTAGAACCATCAAAGAAACTCTAAAGTGCAATTTACAAGGTTTTCTGTTATTTTTTACTGATGCTCGCCAACTTTGAAATAGTTTCAAAATGTCCAAGTTCCTTTTAAAAACAACATTACGATTTCTTTTATAAAGCACTATTCTTTTACTGTCTTTTTGAAGCAATCCCTACAGGTAACACAAAGATTGCTTTTCTTTCAGTCAATACCATCTTTCCAAGCACAGAATGTTCCTTACCTTTAACGATCAGTGTCGGCAATATCAGAAAATGCCTCGACAGCCAGAAAGTTCAGGAGCCACAGCCCAAGTCTGCATGCACGGCTTGGCATCTGGCAAGCTGTCTTTTATATATCCCTTGCCTTGCTTAGCTCTGTCACCAGGGAGGCTCTGTCATTAATTTTCATCCTATGGCTGGAAAGTGCTTCATAGACAGCCAGGGCAGGTGGGCCATCATCACATTAACACTTGGGCAAATATTAGCACAGCACACGCTGACTGCCTTTATGGGGTTAATGGTGCATCGGGGGAAGCAGACGTTTGGACTTTCCATTTGTATGAAATGTAAGTGACATTTTCAACTATTAAGTATGATGGTAAGAAAGTGACATTTTAAAAATGGTTTAAGAAATAGCAATAAAGCATGCTTATATGCAAAGAGAATGCTAGAGAAATGGGGGCATTATAACCACTCTCTCAATACTATGGACGTTCAGAAATAGTTTGTAATACCACTGTAAAAATTATTTTCTGAAAAGCACATACAATGGAAAACTAAATGGACTGTGGGTTTTGAAAAGATTATAGGAAGTTTGGAGAGAACACATGATGTGAGGGGAGTCTGGGAAGAGCGGGAAGGGAGGGAGTGGAGGATGGATTTGATCAAAGCACATTGTAAGCATGCATGAAATTCTGAAGGACAAAAACACTATATATATCTTAAAAAGACAATAGAAGCCATTTATAAAGAAGTGGGGGTAACAAAGACATAAAACCAACGATTTCACATCTGAATGTGTGTTTATCAGGAGTTAGCGACTTCTAGTTGTACATGGGTACACAAGGTTTGTTTGTTTATTGTGTGTGTACATGTTTAACTGTGGTTTTGAGTGCATACAGGTATAGGCCCAAGCACAATCTCAAGAGTCATCCTTAGAAGGACTGAATTGTCTCCTTTGAGACAGTCTCTGTCATTGACCTGGCAATTGCTAGACATTTAGGACAAAAGTGCCCTAAAACCCTTCTGTCACCTTCTCACACTCTGGGCTTAGGTGAGCACACCAACATGCCCCACAGTTCCACATGGGTTCTAAATGTGTGCCGTGGTGTGAGGCAAGCGCCTCATGGACTGAGTTGTCTCCCCAACCCCTGACCTTCCCTCAAATGGATTTTGTTCTTTATTGCTTTGTGAAAGAAAGGGCACAGGAAAACTCATGGCCTTTTCTTGTTCTGATCATATCTTTATTCCATTTAAACCATTTTACTCTGTTTTTATGTACAGCCCCATATTGGCCAGTCTGGTACAGAATTCCATGTGTAGGCAAGGATAACCTTGAACTCCTAATCTTGCCTCATCTCCCACGTGACAGTATTGCAGATGCTACTCATGGCAATTAGCCACGAATCTCTGCTGTAAATGAATCTTTATGTTTGATAGGTAGCCTATTATTTTTGTTTAGACTTTTATAGGCATTACATGTCAGCTATGACCACTTTGGATGCTATACCATCCTAACTACTGGTATATCTGCAAAAAAAAAAAAAATGATTTCCTTGTAGAAAGAAAGCATTCCTGATTTTTCAGTGTGACTTTTCACACACTTCATGAAAGCCCTTTGGATTTTCTTTATTCTTGGTCTGTGATTTTTTTTTCTAATATGTTTTGGGCTATACTTTTTATCAAAAAGTTGAAAAAAATCAACATTTTAAATGTATAAACTTGACCCCTCCTATTCTGGGATTGAACCCCAGGCTCCTTGCACACTAGGCAGCACTCCACGACTATGTCCCAGTTCCAGCATCTCTTTTGTTCCAGATTCTGAAGTGCATGAGGGATGGGGAGGTGACTTAGAGGTAAAGTGGATTAAATTTCTGCTTTGGTGGAACTTCAGGTCTAGCTGGTTTAGAAGCATTCAGCAGTAGTAATTGGGGGTGGGGGTGATGGAAAACATTCTAAAGTCATTTCAGCATCGGGTAGCATGCAGACAAGGGCTGCTGATGTGGCCATTCCAGCTGAAGTCAGCCAAACACGAAAACCAGCAGAGCCCAGTAGTACAATAGAAAAGCTTATTACTGACCAGAACGTGAGCAGCTGTGGGGAAGAACTCTCCCCTATGAACCTTCCATGTCTAAACAGTATCTTTAGGTTTATATGAATATTGAGTAGGGAGAGCGTCCTGTATATACAAGCTAAAATGTAATGAGTTGAATGCTTTGTGAGTCTGGTACGGAGTGAGACTGTGTGATTAACCTGGTGCTTTATTACTCTTGAGAAAACTATTTTCCGTGATATTAATTTGTGAAAAAAAGTTGTAATATTTTATTACAGATCTCCAAAGATCCTTTAGACTTATCTTTTTGTCTTTGAGTGTGTTAAAATTGTGAACAGAGGTGAACCAGTCCTATTAATTAAAAAAAGAAAACAACAAAAAGACTCTTATTAAAGCATGTTTCTGCTTTGGAGATACACACAAAATTAAAAAGTTGGAGGAAGTATTACATTAGTTAGAGTTTGCTAACTAGGTGATCTTGCTGGTAGCTAGAGTAGAGCTTGGCAGGGAAGGCTGTGACAGTGGGTCAGGTGGAGGGCACTGTGTCTCAAGGCCTTTGCGATGCTCAGATCCACGAGGGGTTTGTGGGATGGTACATAAAACTGTGTTATTATGCTTTTTTCAGTCTTATTGATGTATGAGACCTCCTCAAAGGCAGTACATATAATTTTTTTAGTCCCCCAGTCATTTGGTGAATGAGATTTATCTAAATTTTAAAATGCATAAATTCATTTATGGAAGTATCAACTCTCAGTGTTCAGCAGTAATTTTATCAGAGGCAAAGAAATAAGTTTGACCCAAATTATTCGTCTTTATTTTTACTCTTCTTTTGTTTTACTGTCTTTTTTCCTTTTGGTTGTTTTGTGACAGGGTCTTACCACATATCCAGAATATCCTGTAAGTTACCTACACAGTTTATGCTGGTGTCAAGGTTAGCTTCGATTGTCCACTTGATACAACCTAGTATCAGCTTGGAGGAGAGTCTCAATGAGAAATTGTTTATGTTGGGTTGACCTGTGGGCATGTTTGTGCAGACTGTTTTATATTAATTGATGCTGTATGGCCAAATCACTGTGGGTAGCCCCATTTTTAGGCAGGGTTTCCTGAATGAGTGGAAAGGATGCCTGCTTAGCCAGGTGTTCAGTTGCATAAACCCTGGTGAGCAACAGCACGACAGAGTCCACAGCCCTCGCATCCTAAAGTACATTTTTTAATTAGAAAGTACTCAGTGCTCCTTTGAGAGAAGAATGGGAAACCTGAGTCATCTAAAAGTGGTGTTTTGGAGGTGGTTTATTTAAAATTGCGACTGGTAGACAAACACGGTCATCCAGAGGAAAGGACAGCCATAACTGCATGATGGTAGGTCCAATGGGATGACGAAGAAAAGGAGTTGGAGTAAGAAAATTACATCCATTTGCTGCATTGTCTAAGACCATTTCAGCTATTGCAGAGACGAAATTGAAAAAAGATGCCTTTCCACAAAAGCATAATCATGGCCTTGTTAGAAATAAATCTAAAACTTCATCTAATTACATTAATGAGTACCAATGAGTCATAATTAAATGTCTTTTGAAAAAAGTTTGGGGAAATGAAGCCTGTGACCATAGCTACTTAGCATCTCCGTTCTTTCTTTGGTTGTGTGAATCAAGACTCTTCCTGTGACACAGCCAATGCGTTGAGAACCGGAGATTAGATGAGCTCATGAAGGCTGCAGGTGTATTTAACCCACGTCTATCTACGTTATATGGAATACACATCCATCTATATCACACGGTAGCATCTTTCAGGGCGGCTAGAGCGATGGCTACAGTGATTAAGAGCACCTACTGTTTCCCCAGAGGACTCCAGTTCACTTCCCCGCACCTATGTTGGGAGGCTTGCAGCAACTGTCTGTAACTCCAGCCCCAGCAAATTTGTCACCTCGTACCTCTGTGGGATCCTCTACTCACATGTGCCTGCCCTCATACAGATACACCCATATACACACAATTAAAATAAAAGAAATTAAAATAAACAAAAATTAAACTCTTAAAATAATATCCTCTAGGGAGTTGCTTTAAAATTTTCTTGGTGAGCTGAAGATGGTATTGTAACTGTTGGGTATACTGATATTAATTTGATTCAGTCTCCAAGTTAAAGCTATCTACAAATTGTTTGCAGAAACAGGTGGTTTAAATGTTTCAGAGGAATTTTCTATTATTTGATTTTGCATTCAGCTTCCTCACTAGCGAAGCACTGCCATTCGTTCTGGTCTGATTTCCCTTATTTTGGGCATATGCTTTGGTCTTTGTTGATTCATTTCTCTATTCATAACAATATGTCCTCAACCGGGTTGCATAACTGAAATCTCTGTGGCTCTGCCAACTCTAACAAATAACCCTATGGGGAGGCTACAAGGCAACTTGCTTATAGGTTTCCAGAAACCATTGACACGTGGAGGATAGCTTAGGCGATGAAACTCAGGTCATTTCCTTGTGATATTTATATTATAATTCATGTTTGTTCATCTGTAAACATGCAGGAACTCTAGTGTAGCTGTACAGAAGTGAGTCCCCACAATTGTTAGCTCAACAAAGACTCACCTTGAATGTGGGCAGCTTCAGCCCACTGGCTGTAGTCCTGAATAGAATAAAAGGAGGAAGTGAGCTGAGTGTGAAGGCAAAGGCATAAGTCAAAAACAATCCCACACCAGTTTAGAATAACGATTAATAGAATGGTTATTTATTTAAAGGGGAAAAAAACTTATAGATCACCGTCCTAGACAACAGCCCTCTGCGCAATCCGGAAGCGGAGCAGGAACTAAGAGAGAGCGAGAAGGGAAGTGGCAGCTTTTTTAAAGGGAGAGAGACCACACCCCAATGGGCTGGTATCTCAGCGGCTATTGGCTGGAGGAGAGGAAGGACCTCCCACAACACCTCCCCCTTTTGTTTAAGTAAGAGAGTTCTAAACCTACTACGAAATTATATACAATAAGTACAAATATCCTATTCTAACTAGCTTAGGTCTTGTATAATAAATAGCTTGGCCAAGTCA